TAGCCTTTAATAATTTAATAGACTCATTTGGTTTTACCCAAAACGTCCGCACATCTACTCATTCTTATCATCACACTTGTAGTGAACTAAGCCTAAGGTCAAAACCCTTGACCTTAAGAACCTTGTGGGACAGAAACTGTCATTTCATTGATTTGAATCCAGAAATACAGGTTCACCCATCCTGAGACTTTCTTTCTTGAAAATTCAAGTGAAAGAACACTCTCTTTTCTATTATCATTACTGTTTTACAAATGTTTGATAATCAAAGTGTTTTAGTTCAAACCATTTTAGATGTTGCAGTGAACTAATCATTTTTAATTAACTGTGAAAACAGTAACAATGATTTTTTAATCCTCATGCAAAGTTAGAATTCATGTTAAGGCCTGTTACAGAGTAATTATGCATTTTCTGATTTTCTGTCTTTGAATGAGCAGTGTACGTTTGTTCCAAGGTCGGAGTCGAAGCAGACAAGTGTTGGAACAACTGTCTTGTTTTTAAATCCTCTCAGACGTAAACAGAGAAGTTGGCACCTGTTTCTCCAAACTCACCCAAACATTTCTCTCGCCTGTCTGAAAAACATTTTCAATCTGTTCCACAACATTCTTGCTGTTTTCTGACTTCTAGTAACCTTTTACGTCACAAAACACACCCCTGTCTGGTCGACATTGACCAATAAGAAAACTCCCAAATGAACCGGAAATAGAGCCCTTTAAAAGGTCGGTACTTCCTAGTTCTCTCAGTTCTGTGAGTTGCCGTTGGAGTCGGGCTGGAGAGTTTGCAGCTCCAGTCGTTTGGGAGAACAGAAGTCCAGCCATGATAAGGCTCTTCCGAGATTGGGATTATAACATCTTCCACCTCTGAGTGGAACTCGGACGAACCCCACTCATGTGAGGTCCACTGGCTGAGGTGAACTTGTGTCAGACGGAATATCGTCACTACTTCGGACGAGTCACAGCCATCCTATGGAGACGCTGGACAGGTAGCGTTAACTGGAACTCCGTATCCGCTGATTCATCTTCAGAGAGGTAACGAGTCAAGTTTACTACCGAGCGTACCGAGGAAAGCTGGGTTCGAATGGAGAGTGTCGTTTCTGGTCAACACTCTCCCTCACACACCATCTTTTACTCCCTTTAAACTTCATTTTCCATCTTTAAATTCTTCTATCAAGTAGAAATCATTCCAGATATTTTAGAAATGTCTGTGTAAAGTCTTCCAATCACCGCCGTGTGGTTGATCATAATTGTACAGCTTGCTGATTAATTATGTTGTTATTTTCATATTTTGCCAAATTAATGTAAATGTTTGATGTTAAACTTTGATTCTGTAAATAAATGACCACATTCATTTTGATGGGTCAAAGATAAATAACGTCTCACGTTACATTTTATTAAATTCAATGCACGTTTATATTCAGTCCAGAAAAATGAAAGAATCCGTTTTAATCAGGTGAATATCTCAGGATATGTTCATCTACATACTGGTGGCCCGTACGTACGTTTCCACCACATACTGGTGGCCCGTATACGTTCATAAATGGACTGTGTATGCGTGTAATAATTGATTTTACATGTTGGCATGAAAAGTGCAGAGAATCAGCTGCTGTGAAACTCCGTGCAGCTGCGGCGCTTGGAGTAAACGCAGCGTGTTGAGCTGAAACAGAAATGTTAGCAGCTACTGGTGTTTTGAAAGCTGACAATTGTGAGTCAATATGTCTTTATGAAAGCTGAAATTGTACATCTGTTGTGTAACATAAGCTGATGAGCTGTGGAATACGTTATTCTGTTTAAACTGTGGTCCAAACGAACAGAGGTTCTGTTGGTTCCGGCTCGGTTCTGAGAAATTCGAACGAGTTTGTTTTAAATGGTTTAAAAGACGTTTTGCCACGGAGCGCCGTCTCCACTAAGCCCAGAAATTGATTCGTTACATTTTTAACAGAAATTGGTGCATTTTGACAGTTTAAAAGGCGAAAAGTTGACGGACTTGTTCAGATAAAGCGAACATGCTAGTTGGAAAAACGGTCCGTGATTGGTTTAAAACGGCTGAGTTGGAACGCTGTGAGTCGCTGAGGAGTGAGTGACGTGCCTACGTCACTTCCTCTGACCCCGTTGTTGCTCTGTCATTGGTGGATTCAGTCACGTGACCCGGAAATAAGTTTGGTTGCACCGAACCTTCTCTGTGCTTAAAATCTGCTTTTTAAAAGTTGAAAAACGCTTTAAAGTTGATTCTGATACGTTGCTCCGTGTCTTTGAAGCTCTAATCGCTGGAGTTTTGCCAAGTTTGAGTTTAAAATCCGTCATTAGATGATGTTTTTGAACAACGCTAGCCAATGCTAATTTTAAGCTAACAGCTAACGACCGGATGTCACCGGATGCCACAGGAAGTCATAGCGACTCCTACTGGACATCACTAACAGTGTCTGGGTTGCAATACAATAAGGTTATGCTGCCACCTCCTGTAGAAACTTGAGATCACAGTTTCACTATGTTTTAGGTTATTTTTGAGTGAAATTGAACGTATTTTCTTTCTGTAAGGCATTTTTGAGTTAATAAACGTTCCTCAAAGCTGAATAATCACTGTTATCTTGCATTTAAAAAGTAATTAAGGTATTTATGCAGAAAGGCATTTACCAAGAAGCTTTTATTCACTGGTAATTCCTTATAAAAAGGTACAAAATAAAAGTTAGAGACTTTTAAAAAAAAGATACGGTTCAGATATTCACAGAGTTGATAAGTTTACTCATTTGCTGGAAAGATAATGCACGTTTAATTGCTAGATCATTAAATAAGTGTAAATATATCAGGAAAAAGAGACTTTTCTGATTTTATTTTACCACCTAAAACAATTACATCTTCCTATTTAATTTTAAATAGAAGATATTGGCAGGAGAACAGGAGTAATAACAGTTTTTCTGAAGAAAGACTGATTAATCCTGACACATCATAAATTTTTATTTTTCTGTACACCTCTGAACCCGATGAGTAACTGTTAAATAGCAAATTTCTGGAACAGAACGGTTTAAAAAGTGTCTTTAAACTGATGTGCTGTGAGACTTTTTAGAAAAATTGCAGGTTTATAAAAATTCAGTGCTTTAGAGTAAAATACACTGAGAAGCTTGGTAATCTAGTATCTGTTAAGAAATAAGCACATAAAAAGTAACACTGCATAGAAGCATTTACTTAAATATTCATGAATTGGGATAAAGCCTACGAGACAGGTGCCCACAGTTGAATAAGTTGACTTATAACAGTACTTTTGTGTAAACCCAGAGCTTAAAATAGTGTGAAAACTCAATGACACTTGAATACATATATTTACCTGTAAAACATCTAAAGCTGGCAACTGTTTATCCAGAAAAAGTGCTACACAGTGAATGAACATGACAGGTGTGGTAGAAAAAGATTTTGATCCTTATGGGATGAAGGGCTGTTTAGAATATGCGTTAGCACTGCTAACAGCATCCTTACATCCATATGGCAAACAGGCGGACAGAATGAACCCAAAAGAGTTAGTGGACAATCTGATGGAGGTTGCAAGATGTGTGACCTCTACAGAAGTTACAATGTCAAGCTATGAAAAGCTGGCTAAAATTGCAATTTTGCTGAAAGAATCATTCTATACAGTTGTTGAGAAAGCTGATTACCTTGCAATAAGGTTAGACAGTGAAAAAGAGGTGGTTCAGAAAATTGAAGAACACTTCCTTCAATTTGAGAGCGAACACGAGGTCCTCATGACAAAACATTATGAACAGATGTTTCAATTACAGCAAAATGCAAATGCAGAAATT